GTGATAGATGCAGTCTTTTTTCCCACAGGTACCAAGTTGTTTCAAGAAGAGGGTCAGGCGGGGCCTTCAATTCGCCTTTCTCAAAATCCCCATTCGTTTTCCTCCTCATCGACTTCAGATAGGCCCCGTCTCATCGCTAGTAGCTTTCTAGCTAGTCCCCAGGCTTTTCCGGTTCCACAACCTCGGTGTTATGATAATTCAAAATGGTATTTATACCAGAGTATAACGGAGGTATAAGTAATATTTTGAATTATCGATCTGCTGACGGTGGCGTCAGATTCTGGGCGGGGCGAAGTGACCTCTTCGCTGAGTCCCGCCCAGGTAGGGCCATCCAGGTTTCTACGGCGTCCCAGAGCGGTCCCCGCCCGCCCGCCCCTGGATTTTGGAGAAAATACCCATCTCTTTTTTCAGCTTCACGATTCCGAATAGGAGCGGACTTGGCCCGAGAAGCCTCCGAACTCATTCGTCGGAAAAATCATCATGAAAGCCCTACAAACGGATCGAGCTCCTAACACGATTGCCAGTTACAAGGCAGAACTTAGAAAATTCATAGCATGGAAGCAGGATTCTCGATTTCATAATATTCCTCTTTCTAAAGCCAGAAATCTGTACTTAGCCAAAGGCGCTTATGAAGGCAGGCGCAAGACGTTACCTCTGGTCGTAGCAGCTCTTAATTATTTCTACGGCCCCCAGATAGGCGTCGACAGAGACATCCAGGCCGCGTTACTCGAGGCGGAGAAGAGGTCAGCACCTCCGGTAACCCATCGCGCCAAGAAGTCCTTACGCAAAATCATAAACCAGGGTATTGGGTCACAGGATCCCAACATAACACAAGCGGCGTCTCTGGCATTGCTCCAGTTTAAGGCTTTCCTCAGGATAGGGGAGGCTAGATGTCTCAAAGTACAGGACCTCAAGCGCGTCAATAATGTTGAGTGGCACCTTACGGTCACTAAGTCCAAAACGGATCAATATGGGGCAGGCTCAGTATGCGCTTTCCGTCTGGACAAATTAGAACAGGAGTTGCTGCTAAAATATCTGTCCTCAATAAGTAACGCGGTGTATCTGTTTCAATCCTCCTCTACGGGTGCGCCCCTCACTTACGCCACTCTGAGGGATAGGCTCATATCGCTATTACGAGCATGTCAACTTCAGCACTTATCTATAACCTCACATTCGTTCAGAGGGGGGGCCGCTTCCCTAGCTCTCGACCTGGGCTTCGACCAAATTCGGGTCATGCAGGCGGGTAGGTGGAAATCCACCAAAGCTTTCTCCAGCTATATATCTCCCAAGCCAGTTTTCCTCCCAACACACACTACTAGCAGCTCACATTTCCCTGCTTCGTAGTTACTAAACTTTTTTTTTGCTAGGCATCGGTCGTTGTATACGCTTAACTTTATCTACAGGTCTCTTTTCTTGTTATC